TAAATACAATATTGACAAAATTTATTTTTTAATTCTTAATGGCACTTTTTGATGCAAAGGCGCAAGAATACGAGTACGTGCGTTTCTTTAAATGAAAAGGGTGCAGAAAGACATATTTGAATTCAAATTATAATTTCACCTTAAACCTATTATCGCTTATAAGCAAATTTTATTAAATTTAATTTGAAATTTTCTTCACTTTTATACTGTAAATTGTTCAAAAAAATGAACCTGTATTAAATCAATAGTTAGTTTAATTTATTTAGAAGATCTTTAACATCAACTTGATTATTTTGATGGTGCAAATACAAGTGATGAAGTACCCATCCTAATTTATTTTATTTTCAATTAAATTAATTTTAAGTCCGCATAATTTTCAAGTGTTTCTTATTCTTTGTGTTACACTACAAATATTTTTTAATAACAGTTATATTTTTATATAACAGGTTGTCGTTTCACATCTATAACTCTATAATATAACAATACTAGTATATTCAATTATATAATATGACAAATCGCAAATATACATATATAGCAATGTACATAATGTTATATCAACATAAATAAAATAAAAGTAAAAGGTTTATTAATCACATCCCAATATATAACTGTACTTTTATTACACTGTTATACATATGTAGATACATTCACCTCACCTGTTATAATTTAACAAAAATAATTTTTAAGTGCATTATGAAATTTAATATTTAATATACCTATAAAGCTTTTAACATAGAAAAATTGTTTTCAATATAACAATATAGATAATAATAAAATTTTCGACGTATTAATAAACATATATGTACATACATGGACTAAAACAATATAGGTACGTGTACTATCTATCAAAAACGATACATCAATAGATTAATAGACAAAAGAAGAAGTTCTATATTGTTATACAATGTACTCAATAGAAAAAAACCATAAAAATAATAAACACACAGTACGGTCCACTTATAAGAAAGAATATTTAAAATTTAATCAAAATTTTATAAGAAAAAATACAAGTACACGTAAATAACGCTGAAAGTAATAAAGAAACGCTAATGCAAAAATTTAGTATGAATTAAGATTTGTTTATATTCGGACTAAAATTGATACTAAACTGATTCTGTCAATTGCATAATATATATGAGCTTGACTGTATATTGTTAAATGATAATTAAGAATAATATAATTAATTTGATCTTGCGGTTATAGGGAAGATTATAATAGAATATGTCCAATGAATAGAAATATGGTTTTATTCACATGACACATTCATTTTCTAAAGATACCAAAGACAATTATTATAAAAACTGTAAGAACTTTAAGAACAAGAAAACTGTATAACTAAATTTTTGCAATATTTATATATAATAACGAATTAACATTATTATTTAGGAGCATGATCGCGTATTTCGATATTTTACTCACCAAGCGAGAAGAAGGTGAAAAAAAATTTTCTCACAAGCGAATAACTGAGTGAAAAAAAAATTTTCAGTATTGCGGTTCTCGTATTTTCCTAAATTGTTTACAAAATTTGAAATTACATACTTAAACTTCAATTTAAATAACCACTTTAAAATTACAAAAATTAAATTAACCACTTTCTTTTTGAAGGTGAGAATTTCAGCCGATAATTTGAGATAAAATGTAAAAATCTAGTTGAAAATATGAGTAATCTTATTAAAAAAATTAAACCTCTATTAGCAAAAAGGAGAACTCTTATTTGACAGTAAAAAAAATGAAATAGAAAAGAAAGGTACACGATTAGGTTGTAAAACTGACTGTTCTGAATTTATTCTTACTCAACTCATTAACACAATATATTAAATATCATAGCCTTTTTAAACAAAACTGCATTACAAACGAATATTAAAGTAAAAAACAGTTTAATAAAAATATTGTCATTGATTTTTCTCGATATTTCATTGAAGCATAAAAAAATCGCTTAAAAAAAAGAAGGAAGAAATAAAGTTAAAGTAAGTGAGTACGTATGTATATATGCATGTACTTATGTATATATGTAGGTACGCAGAATAATAAAAACAAAAATATTGTTTCTAACCATCATCATCCTGTCATTGACATTAAAAGTCATTGACATTTGCAATTATTTAATATTTTCCGCGTAACATTACCATTTAGCGCAAATAAAATTATAAAATGTACGTTTAGAGAAAATAGAATTTGTAAGAAGTTAAAAAAATATTAGGCGCTTTTAATCCTTGTAATAATTGAAGAAATAATTAGAGTTTGAAGCATGAATGCTTCTTTATTTTACACATTTTTCGACACTACCTACTTTTAGTTACTTTCGTATGTACATGCACATTATGTATTTCGTATCGATTTGTAAAAAATTCCTGTCTTTTCTTAACAGCACAATCTGAAGTGACATTGTAGTTGAGGAACGGTTTAAAATACTTAATCAAACAGATTGTTAAATTTATTTTCCTATTTGACACTAAATGTCAATCGTCTAATTCTTTAACATTTACAAATTAGTTTTCATTCGTATATAACACACTTACATCTCATTAGCATCCCATTTACAAAACAATCTTAACTCAAGCTCTTCTTTAGTGTTTTATGTAGAATGAACGGATGAAAATAATGTGAGCAACCAGCTAATAATTTCAATTTGAACTAAAATCTAATAAGAGCCTTAATAAGTTAGGCTTTTATGTAAGTTTATGGTTATTTTTTTTATGGTTTCTATTTAATTTCCCTAGAGTAAGGAATCATACAGTTCAATCGAGCTAAGTAGCACACTTTTATTTAATTTTTCCACATATAATGTCAAATTTTAAGAAAATTTGCACTTTACATAACCTGTTTCTAAGTAACCTTTTTGATCGAAAATCTCTAACTACTTATTATGTAATACAGGCAAGTACCTACTTGATTGAAGACAATTTTTAAGTAACGAATAACAATAGTGAAATAAGGCGGGGGATGAATTTATCGTTTAATGAAAATTCAATTAAATTTACCATTTAACATTATTATCATCATTTGCATAATTATCAGTTTCTTATGGCTTATTAGGTCTACTTGTATATTTATACATGCGTATATTTATGCACATACATACATATACATATGTATGTATGCATAATTTTTTCGAAAGATCACAATTAATTTAAAAAAGTTGTACATAACCATAAAATTAAATTTTAATGTTATCTTCCGAGTAAATTCAAATTTTATGTCCTGTATTGCATTTAAACTACAGATACCTACATATGAGTCACCACAAGCGTGCTGTTCATTTACTGAGTCACAATTAATTTCCTTTATTTTAAAATAAGATATGTAAGTATAAATTGTTTTAGTTTAAAAATTATCCCGTTTGAAATACATAATGTATGCCTAAAGCATTGCAATTTCCAACATTTATTCATTGTTGAATAGTAACAATAGATCATCGAATGCAATTTTATTTTAATACTTAATTTAAATATGTTTCTAAAATGCTAACGCATACTTATGTTTCTTTTAATTGAAAATTTTCATTGTCCAACCATATTCTATTAGTCGTATGGATTATTATTGAAAGTATACTTTTATTTTTGGCTTAGAATTTCAAATTTCGGATTTTATACAGAAAGTGGCAAGATTTTTCAATAATAGCACATTACGTTAAGACTAAGAGAATACAGGTGGTTATATGTATATAAATAGGTAAACAGTTAATTGATCTCACCTGCAAATATAAATTGCTTTTTTTTTAACTTTAAACAAATACGAGTTCATCTTAGCAAGCTTGTTTTACTTACTACAATGTAATAATAAGCAAATAGGCCCCTATGTACAAATTTTTGAAAAAATTTTTCTTTAACACAAGCACTGTTTTAAAACTATATTACGGAAGCCACAATTTAAAATTTGATCTATTTACGACTTAAATTGAACTTAAATATGTCTATAAATTTAATATAAATATTGTCTGATTTATATACATATATTAAATTTAAAACACATTTTTATATCACATTTTAAAAGATTTATAATTTCACTCTTTCACAATTTTGCCAATACTGTTTATTATACCAGACGGTGACAGTGTTGCCGTCTATCATAGAAGAAAAGTTTAACTATATTACATGCTTGATTATATTATCTAAAGTCGGAAGCAAACATGCAATTTTTAGTTTTACAATTACTGCTTGATTGCAAAATCGTTTAATGCACATCTAAACAAGTAAGCTATTACGTCAATTCAAATTGGTTGTGTTAACTAAAAATTACAATGAGTTTGGTGCACGGTTGCTAGTCTGCGCGTTTAAATATAAACCTATGGAAAACAATAATACAGTTGCAAAAGTAAAGATTCTTTTAATTCTCTATTTTCATATAAATAATAAATCAGAAAATCTGCTAGAACACAAAAAAAAATAAAACGCTATTTGATTATTAAAAAGAATAAAAATTTTAAATTCATATTCTGCCAGCAAAGTATTCTTAGAAAATCTAAAAATGGAAACTCAGTTGTTTAAATTTTGGGCGCGAAATGTTTTTTGAACTACCAGTCTAAGTTTAATAAGTCTATTTTAAAAACGCAAATTCTACTGTAGACTTCAAACTTTAAATGCATGAATCCTGTTTGTTTTTTTTTTAATTTTTATCAAACATTTTATCATATTTTATGTCTGATTTGTATACATGTTGTTCCGTCACCTTTTTTAGTCACTCTCCTCCTTTTCAACATTTTTCTAATAAGAATTTTAATTTTTTTAAGTTAGATAATATTTTAACCAATAATAAGGTAATAAGATTACTCCATTTTTCAATTATTCCTAATATATTAACTGAAAAAAGTCACGGCTCTGTGCATTTTGCTTTTAAAATAAATTAAAAATTTTTTATCAATTTTACATTGAAAATTTTGATGACTTAAAAATGGTATTAAAAAATGTGCATTATGGAATTATGATTCCCACAAAAACGAAATAAAAGTAAATTGAGTTTTGATTTAGTTTAAAAATAAAATTTTCTTTTTTTCTATTTTTTTCTCTGTTTTTTACTATTTTCAACAAGTTTTAACAAAAATATATTTTCATTGAATAAGTTATGAAGTTTCACATTTTTACTTTTAGAAAATACGTACAAACGAAAATTAAATACTTAGGTACATACCTATTATGCTCAATGATTATATTATAGCATTCAGGTTTACTAAAATTAAAAAAACAAAGTATATGTATATAAAATGCGGAGTCTGACAGAAAAGCCAATACATATTTTAATGCTCTAAATAAGATGTTAATAGTATTCTCTAAAAGTAAAAATATAGAATTTTTGAAACTTAACAACCAAAATGCTTCTAACTCGTTTCTTTTTCTTGTTTCTACTAAGATGTATTTTAAATAAAATCGCAACCGATTCCAAATTGAAAGCCTCTACAAACTCGATCTCCTTTTTCTTTGTCAAGTGGGATACAATAATTCACTTCGATGCGGGCTTGATTTGCGAATTTATATGCTAAGCCAATTCCAGCTGCGCTTTTCATTTTATCGGTGGAAAATGAGTTACAATTGCCGAAGTTATAAAATAAATGTGTACGGAAATTTTCACTAAATCTTCCTAAGCTACTCTTAAAAGGTAAAGGTGCCCAAAAATGCATTCCTAAAAAAAATTAATTTAAGATGAATTACTACTTATACTATATACATATATAAAATTGAAATTTACCTGACGACCAATATGAATGTGCTCCAGTAGCAACACCTTGTCGTTGTGGTCCAGCTCCACCCCATTCAAAACCACGCAATGACATAGAACCACCAAGATTAAAAAGGCTGCTTATAGGAACGCTAGGCGACTTCTTATCTTTTTGAATCATTCCGAAACGTGATGAAAATTGCATTGAACAACCCAATATTAAAGGAATATTAATTTCAAAATGCGTATCATTCAGCATATAACCAATATTGCCACCAAGACCACCGCCAGCAAATTCATTTAAAGTTTTTGCATAAACACCGTAAGTTGGAAATATATTGCTATCCCTACTATCAAATTGTACAATGTGTCGAATAAGTGATGCCATCCTTGGTCCACATTGTTCTCTTATAAAGAATGGTGCAGTTTTCTTTAATAATGAGATCTCTCTGAAAGAACTTTCATATTGAATAGAATGAAGTAGATCTATTGGCCACAATGTATAGAAAGTAAAATCAGCGAGAATTCCTAAATTTTGATTTTTATATTCGCTAATAGGTACCGCATTACTATGACGAAATAGTGAAAGTGAAATTTCTGGTCTATTATATAAAAATCTTGTATGATAAAATCCTTTACTCAATTTCAGAATTAAATCACTTGTCCTAAAATAACTATATGAACCTTGAAGAGTTAAACGTTCACCGCGACCAAAAAGATTTGGGCTTGATAATTCTGTTTTAAAAGATCCTTCACTTTGTCCTATTTCGGTACCAACTTGACCAATAATTCTAGATAATTCTATGCCTTCAAATGTAATTTGATAACCATTTGGTGAAGCTTTCTCGCCACGGCTAATATCAATATGAACTGAAATTTCTTTAAATATACCCAAATCGCTTAAGTACTGTCTGGCATTATTAACCTCTATAATGACATCCTGAAAATTATCTGCTTTAAATAAATCTTGCGCTGTTCTCATAACGTAATCATCATATGTTCTCAAAAGTCCTTTAACAATAACGTTATCGACTCGAGCAGGAATTTTTGATAAATCCGCCTCATTTTTCGGTTTGCGTGGTTTTTCTTGTTTAGCAGAAGTTGCACCCATCCTTCTTGTTTAATCCTACAAAGTAAATATAAACTTGAAAACATAATTGGTAAAAAATTAGGTACATAAAACTGTAAGGCACTTGTCCTAATATTACAAACTAAGAGTTCGATATAAAAATTATAAAACTGTTAATTAAAAAGCTTTTTAGTAATTCTTAACATTGTATTTTGTTATGTTGTTTAATGATCTAAATATAGAGCAATTTCATCAGTCGTTAAAGTAGACAGATATATTATGTAGTTATAAATTTAACATTAAAAATAATATTATTGGATTACAAGTTCATAACCCCTTTAAATTAATAATTATGTATAAAGAATGATACGATTTCAATTTATTTCAAAGCATTATTTTGAATTTTTTACAATCGAGACATCATCATCTTCTTATGTAAAACCTTTTATACATACTTATACCTATTACCTTCAACATAATTTTTAAACAATATTGCCATTTTGTAAACGCGCTCAAAAGCTTAATTTTTTAGTCTTGAAATTAATTTAGCAAATAAATCATATAATTTAATATTTAATTGTACGAATTTTTTAGTTAATTACTTACAACTTGTAATATGAAAAACAATTAAATAGCTGAATGAAAATTTTCCCATCGGCAATCACATTCTAAACAACATACTAAATGTCATCTCTACAACACTACATCTTTCAAAATTGAAGCATACTTCAAAAATATGATCAGGGCTCAAAATATTAATTTTTAATTTATGAAGTTTGTTTCATATCCAATCTTCCATTTTATTTTTACAGCCCTGCTTTTTTTTTCTGAATTAGAAAATGTTCCATTTTTATTATGAAATATTTGATAATGAAACGCAAAATTTTGCAGATTCACTGGTATATTTTGTAAGATATTTTACTCTCTCACTCCAATTAAATTTTCCATTGAAAATTTACATGCGGTTTTTGTCTTACAATTGACATTTCTCTATGACATTTAAAGAACCAGTATTCCAGAAACATCAAGATATTTCTAAAATCAATATGAAAATTTCCGGGCGGCAATCTAGAATATTCGGGAACTTTATAGAAATTCTTTGTTTGGATATATAAAGTCAGCGCCTAGAATAGCATAGCATAGTATTGAATTAAAAGTGGAAGTGAAAACTTCAAGCAAATCGGAGCAGAGACACAAAATCAAGCGTTTTATATTTTTAAGCGAATAAAGAATTGAAATTCATTTTAAAGTATTAAGTGTGAAAATTTTTGAAAAAAATTATTTGAGGTAAATACTAAATTTCATTTTGTTTTACAAAAAGCATATTTTTAAAAATTTGAAAATTGATTTATGTGATATTTTTCATTTTCAAAATTTTCTAAGAAAGTTTTCAAGAAAAAATTAAAAGTTTTCACTAAAAATTGTGTTCAATACATAAAAGTTTTTAAGAGATTTCAGTAGATTATTTAAAATATAAAAAATTTATTTAAAGACAAGACATTAAAGAAAAAATTTAGAAAATCTCGAAATGAAAAAAATTAAAACAGGAAATGCATTTTTCCACCGTTCTTTTTATGCAAGTTGTAATTGATGCTTAACCTATTTTACGTTTTTTTTCTTTCAGATGGCTGATGTTGAAACACAAGATGTAGAAACCTTCGCTTTCCAAGCTGAAATTGCTCAGCTTATGTCATTAATCATCAATACATTCTATTCAAATAAAGAGATTTTCCTTCGTGAATTGATTTCAAATTCTTCTGATGCTTTAGATAAAATTCGCTATGAATCATTAACCGATCCTAGCAAACTTGATTCTGGAAAAGAACTTTACATTAAATTAATTCCAAACAAGGCAGCTGGAACATTGACAATCATTGATACTGGTATTGGTATGACTAAAGCCGATTTAGTTAACAATTTGGGTACCATCGCCAAATCTGGAACCAAAGCTTTTATGGAAGCTTTACAAGCTGGTGCTGATATTAGTATGATCGGTCAATTTGGTGTAGGTTTCTACTCTGCATATTTAGTAGCTGATAAAGTTACTGTTACTTCTAAACATAATGATGATGAACAATATACATGGGAATCGTCAGCTGGAGGTTCTTTCACAATTAGAACAGATCATTCAGAACCATTAGGACGTGGTACCAAAATTGTTCTTCATATTAAAGAAGATCAAGCTGAATATTTGGAAGAAAGTAAAATTAAGGCTACAGTTCAAAAGCATTCTCAATTTATTGGATATCCAATCAAATTGGTAGTAGAAAAAGAACGTGAAAAAGAAGTAAGTGATGATGAAGCTGAAGAAACCAAAGACGAAGATAAAAAGGATGAACCTAAATTAGAAGATGTAGGTGAAGATGAAGATGCTGATAAAGAAAAGACCAAGAAAAAGAAGAAAACTATTACAGAAAAATATGTTGATGATGAAGAGCTTAACAAAACTAAACCCATTTGGACACGTAATGCCGATGATATTTCACAAGAAGAATACGGAGAATTTTATAAATCATTAACAAATGATTGGGAAGATCATTTGGCAGTTAAACACTTTTCAGTAGAAGGTCAATTGGAATTCAGAGCATTACTTTTTGTACCAAGACGTGTTCCATTTGACTTATTTGAAAATAAGAAAAAATGTAATAACATCAAATTATATGTTCGTCGCGTGTTTATCATGGAAAATTGTGAAGATTTAATTCCCGAGTGGTTGAATTTCATTAAAGGTGTTGTAGATTCAGAAGATTTGCCTTTAAATATTTCACGTGAAATGTTACAGCAAAATAAAATTCTTAAAGTAATTCGAAAGAATTTAGTGAAAAAATGTATTGAACTCTTCGAAGAATTAAGTGAAGATAAAGAAGGATACAAAAAATTCTATGATCAATTCAGCAAAAATATTAAATTGGGAATTCATGAAGATACACGCAATCGTCAAAAATTAGCTGATTTCATAAGATTTTACACATCAGCTTCTGGTGATGAATACTGTTCACTTGCCGATTATGTTAGCCGTATGAAGGAAAACCAAAAACATATTTACTTCATCACTGGGGAGAGTAAAGAACAAGTAAGCAACTCAGCCTTTGTTGAACGAGTTAAGAAACGTGGATTCGAAGTTGTTTACATGACAGAACCAATTGATGAATATGTCATCCAACATTTGAAAGAATATCAAGGAAAACAATTGGTATCTGTTACTAAAGAAGGTTTAGAATTACCAGAGGATGAAGAAGAAAAGAAAAAGCGTGAAGAAGATAAAGCTAAATTTGAAGGTCTTTGCAAGCTTATGAAGCAAATTTTAGATAATAAGGTTGAGAAGGTCACTGTATCAAACCGTTTAGTTGATTCACCATGCTGTATTGTAACATCTCAATTTGGTTGGTCTGCTAATATGGAACGTATTATGAAAGCTCAAGCACTTCGTGATTCTTCAGCTATGGGATACATGACTGGTAAAAAACATCTTGAAATCAATCCAGATCATCCAATCATTGAAACATTGCGTCAAAAATCTGAAGTAGATAAAAACGACAAAGCTGTCAAAGATTTAGTTATTCTTCTTTTTGAAACATCATTACTTTCATCTGGTTTTTCATTGGATAGTCCACAAGTTCATGCTTCAAGAATTTACAGAATGATTAAATTAGGTTTAGGAATTGATGAGGATGAACCAATGGCTGTTGAAGAAAATGCAGCAGGTGCTGCCGATGTTCCACCTTTAGTAGATGAATCTGAGGAAGCAATTTTCATGGAAGAAGTTGATTAAGGTGGAAACCATATTTCTTAGTTGTTACCGCGTTGTAGTGGTTTAAAGAAGTTACAATAGTATCATTTCTGCTATAATTAAGTTCGATGTTTGATTCCAATACTATCTTAGTTTAGAAATAGAACAATAAATTAACAATTCAAAATTTTAAGTTTATTTGACTGAATCTTAATATTGATATTTTTGTTTATTTATTCTAATAAATGCGCAAAATTGCCTAAAATTAAATCTATTTTTTTTTATTTCATTTTGTCTAAATTTTCAGTTCAGGGAAACAATTGTGGTTTTCGTTTATTCAGTTCTAGAATAGTACTAGCTTGTAGTACGTTCCCAAATTCACGCTACACACTGGAAATATAGATCGTAAAAGAAAATTACTTACAGGAATAAACTGCATTCGAAAATTCAATGTGCAATAAAGAAATGTTAGCCTCATGAAATTTCTTTAAGTCTTCAAATCTTGTGAAAATCCTTATTTTGCAGTGAATTGGGTGGCAAAAAGTTTTGGTCGATTTCCTAAACAATGTCATATAAGTTATTTTCGAACTGATTATTTATAAGTTCCAGAACTTAGACTGCGTAAACAAAAAAAACTTAGCTAAAGTTTTTGCATAATGTTTAACGCTGTGAAATTTTAGTTCTAATGTAGAACTTTCAGCGCAGCGTGCATAAACGAAAACCCCCAATAATTTTCGGTATTGAGTATACTGTTACATATTTAAAAAAAATTGATGTTGAAGAAATTACAAGTTTGTGGATTTTCAATCGATGCAAAAAAAGACTAAAAACTTTTAAGTTCATGTCAGAATTATCAAAAATTACGTTCCTGTACTGTGTATTGTAACTGCTACACTGTTCAAAAGTGTAAATGTAGGATTTCATTATAGGGAGTATGCCGTATCTAAGAATTTTGTCTGTATGTATGTATGTACATACATATAAAGTTCAGTTTTTGAAGTATAGACCTTACTTTGAAGATAGAAACTAGAGTGGCAAGGCAAACATTTTTTTCGTATGAAATTAAAAAACAACTCAGTTCGTTTTTTTTAGTTTCTCCTGGAGTATTTTACCTGAAAGGATATTTGTTTCTCATCACTAGCATTTTTATTTTTGTGATGAGTGAAATTCAAAATTAATAAGTATAAGAAAAAACTCATAAATAAAATTAATTAAATAAAATTTTTAAAAGTGAACATTTAAAAAAGTACTTGGAATATAAAAATGAAATGTTGTGTTAAAAACTGTAGAGTTTATAAAAAAAATTTGTTTTGATAATTTTAAAATTATTTGGATTTTGAAATGAAAGCATTTAACTGACCTAGTGATGTAGTTTTGAGGAAGAAGAATGTTGTAAATTTTGTACAAGTAAAATGCAACATTTTTAATTTTATTTTAACTTCAATTAAGAAACCATAGTTTTATAAAGACTAAAATAATGAGTTGCCAAGAACATTTGAGTTCCCAAAATATAAAAATTTTATACAGAAAAAGAGTATTGTAGGAAATTTTCTCCCGTTGAGAGAAAAGAAACAATCTACTGCCAGTCTATTTAACTAGTAGGTCTATTGTTTCATCTAATGCCATAGACGAGTATGCCTATCAGGCCACCAAGCTGGTGTAAGCTTATTTTCCGAAATTGTGAATCGGATAAAAATTACAAAAACAGTTCTTAATGTTTTTTGTTTTGTGAAATTTTTGAGTATTCTTTGTGACTCTCAATTTATTTAGTATAGTTGTAAAAACCATCTAGATTATAATATTTATTTCTTTGCTTTTAATTTCTCTTTGAATTAAATTTTTTATTCCAAAACTTTACCCTGTAATTTAGTTCCCTTGAAAGACAGGAAAAGTTGTCTGCGCTAACAAGTGTAATTTTTTTTAAATGCATTTTTCAGATGAAAATTCCATCAGCCGATTCTTTTAAAATTTAGAAAAATATTGATCAATTTCCTTTACACAAACAATTACTCATACCCCTTCCATTTAAACTCCATATAAATTTGGAATTTATTTTTGATTTTTTGTCTGAGATTGGTGGCCTGATAGATATAGAAGGCATTAGTTTCATCAGTAGGAAAATGAATGATAGAGCCGTTTATCATTTACTCATTATTTCTTTGGTGAAAGATAATTTTTATGTTTCACCAATTTTCCCTTTTATTCACTTTTTGTGATATTGATGACAGTACCATAATGTGAAATACGTAACTAATCTTAACTTCTCGAGTGCAATATAAAACAGCAATGTTCTAGTGATTCAAAATATGGTACAATAAAATATTACATTGCAGCCTGCATTAAAATGGATAATTTGAAAAGTTACCACGTAGGGTAAGGTAGATAGAGAGAGCACTCGAAAAATGTTGCTAGACCTTTTTAGTTTAAAAGTTACTTCAAATATAACACTGTTTGTCATACTACTTTGAATTCTGATGCAAGTCTTCTCATTTTGACTACAGTAACTGAACTGCAACGAAACCTCCTACTGCAACTCGGAATTGCAGTACATGTACTGGACTGTTGTTTGAATTTGATCGCCTTGCGCTGTAAATAAACTTGCATTTTAAACAAAATTTTATACAAAATATTATAATGCACAATGAATATTTTAGGAAGCTATATGTAATTCAAATAAAAAAGAATGTATTAACATTGGGAACCTTGTAATTAAAACAAAATATTATTTTAGCAAAAAATTATTTTATTGAATACTTGTTTTGTTTCTCATTCATATTTTGAAAAAAAAGCGTTAGGAATTAATTTGATGGAATGCTTTAATTTCTGTTAAACATAGAATTTTTGAAGCATTTAAATGTGAGATTGAGTTCTAACTGTATGCACAATTTTTATCGTTTTTAAAATAATTTCCTTAATATTTAAGATTTATTTTTTGTATAACTAACAAATCATGTTAATTTATGTTTTAATTAATTTTATCGTTTTAAAAATGCAATAACACATATATATAACAAAAATCCTGTTTTTGTCATTAAATATACATAATTTATAATATTACATATACTCATGCAAAAAAAAATTACAATTTTATTATTGAATTAAAAATGTTAAAAAAAAAATTAAAATCTTAAAAGTAGAACAAAATTGTGCAATTAAGATCTTTACATTTTGTAAGCAGATTTCATTCTATCTACTTAATCAACTTCTTCCATGTGAAGAGCATCTTCAGCATCAGCTGCGGGCTCAGCTGCTGCAGGTTGTTGCATTTCCTCCTCATTAACAATTGGTTCATCCTCATCAATTCCTAAACCTAATTTAATCATTCTGTAAATTCTTGAAGCATGAACTTGTGGACTATCCAATGAAAAACCAGATGAAAGTAATGATGTTTCAAAAAGAAGAATAACTAAATCTTTGACAGCTTTGTCGTTTTTATCTACTTCAGATTTTTGACGTAATGTTTCAATAATTGGGTGATCTGGATTGATTTCAAGATTCTTTTTACTAGCCATATATCCCATTGTTGAAGAATCACGAAGTGCTTGAGCTTTCATAATACGTTCCATATTAGCAGACCAACCAAATTGGGATGTTACAATACAACATGGTGAATCAACTAAACGGTTTGATACAGTGACCTTCTCAATTTTATTATCCAAAATTTGTTTCATAAGTTTGCAAAGACCTTCAAATTTAGCTTTATCTTCTTCACGCTTTTTCTTTTCTTCTTCATCCTCTGGTAATTCTAAACCTTCTTTAGTAACAGATACCAATTGTTTTCCTTGATATTCTTTCAAATGTTGGATGACATATTCATCAATTGGTTCTGTCATGTAAACAACTTCGAATCCACGTTTCTTAACTCGTTCAACAAAGGCTGAGTTGCTTACTTGTTCTTTACTCTCACCAGTGATGAAGTAAATATGTTTTTGGTTTTCCTTCATACGGCTAACATAATCGGCAAGTGAACAGTATTCATCACCAGAAGCTGATGTGTGGAATCTTAAGAAATCAGCTAATTTTTGACGGTTGCGTGTATCTTCATGAATGCCCAATTTAATATTTTTGCTGAATTGATCATAGAATTTTTTGTATCCTTCTTTATCTTCACTTAATTCTTCGAAGAGTTCAATACATTTTTTCACTAAATTCTTTCGAATTACTTTAAGAATTTTATTTTGCTGTAACATTTCACGTGAAATATTTAAAGGTAAATCTTCTGAATCTACAACACCTTTAATGAAATTCAACCACTCGGGAATTAAATCTTGGCAATTTTCCATGATAAACACGCGACGAACATATAATTTGATGTTATTACATTTTTTCTTATTTTCAAATAAGTCAAATGGAACACGTCTTGGTACAAAAAGTAATGCTCTGAATTCCAATTGACCTTCTACTGAAAAGTGTTTAACTGCCAAATGATCTTCCCAATCATTTGTTAATGATTTATAAAATTCTCCGTATTCTTCTTGTGAAATATCATCGGCATTACGTGTCCAAATGGGTTTAGTTTTGTTAAGTTCTTCATCATCAACATATTTTTCTTTGATAGTTTTCTTCTTTTTCTTATTTTTATCTTTATCTGCATCTTCATCTTCACCTACATCTTCTAATTTAGGTTCATCATCTTTTTTTTCTTCTTCTGTAGCTTCTTCAGCTTCATCATCACTTACTTCTTTTTCACGTTCTTTTTCAACCAACAATTTAATTGGGTATCCAATAAATTGGGAATGCTTTTGAACTGTAGCCTTAATTTTACTTTCTTCCAAGTATTCAGCTTGATCTTCTTTAATATGAAGAACAATTTTGGTACCACGTCCTAATGGTTCTGAATGATCTGTTCTTATTGTAAAAGAACCTCCAGCAGACGATTCCCATGTATATTGTTCATCATCATTGTGTTTAGAAGTAACAGTAACTTTATCAGCTACTAAATATGCAGAGTAGAAACCTACACCAAATTGACCGATCATACTAATATCAGCACCAGCTTGTAAAGCTTCCATAAAAGCTTTGGTTCCAGATTTGGCGATGGTACCCAAATTGTTAACTAAATCGGCTTTAGTCATACCAATACCAGTATCAATGATTGTCAATGTTCCAGCTGCCTTGTTTGGAATTAATTTAATGTAAAGTTCTTTTCCAGAATCAAGTTTGCTAGGATCGGTTAATGATTCATAGCGAATTTTATCTAAAGCATCAGAAGAATTTGAAATCAATTCACGAAGGAAAATCTCTTTATTTGAATAGAATGTATTGATGATCAATGACATAAGCTGAGCAATTTCAGCTTGGAAAGCGAAAGTTTCGACATCTGTTGTTTCAACATTAGCCATCTAAAATGAGAAAAAAACAAGGAATAAGTATACAAATAAAATAAAATGTTTATGTAATTAATAAAGTTGAATGTCATCGAACAAACTTCGAAATGCGTAACTTGAGCTGTAAATGTGCTGTAAACGAATTTTTTTTTTTAGAAAGGGGAGGAAATGAAAAAGACAACAAAATCGTAAATTATACAAAAACTTTTGAAACAAGTTCAAATTGCGTCGCAAATAAATAGAATTTTTTCAACTAGTTCATATAGAATATTGTATGGTAAACTATTTGTATGTGTGTTTATTTCAAAATATTTCTACCATAATTACAATAATTAAAATTGTTATCAATCTCTCAACTCGTAAATTGAATCAATCTTATTTATATAATTATTATTTTATAACAACATAATTGTTTAATATTGGTATAAATAGGTAAGTAACAACATTCAAGTATAATAACAATATTAACAACGCTTTCAGCGCATTTTAATTAACAAGCATTTCAGCCTAATAACTCAGATAATTTTAACTTTCATTTTGGTGTATAAGAAATTTCATATAATTTTGATATCCTAATAATTGAAGGCTATACTAAATTTATTACACTATCTCTAAATTTAGTCCGCAATTACGATTTACACAGGCATTTCAATATAAACTTTGTCAAAGAAGATATTGAACTTGCAGTCAACAAACACAGCATCAGATTGAAACAGTATAAAAATATAGAAGCACATCGACTCCTGGACGTTAATCACGAATTAATAGAAAGCTAAAGAGAACCAAACCTATTAACCTAGTCAGGTGGTAGCACATGTAATATCATTCATGATATTCCGCCTTATTCGCTTTGGGTTTCAAGTTTGGGGAGGACCATCCGGTGGATGATCTAAAGTCTACTTAACCTAGTTTTAAGATCAACAGAAAAATGCTGATGGTTGGTCCTTTTGGACCAGTTTAAGCACAAATTAAAAAAAAAATCAATGTAAATATTTACAATTTTTGAAATAATTGCATTCTTTGAAAAATTTTCAACTTTTTAACTCAAAATATCAGCTAGTATTCGAAAACGATAATAAGTTCGACAACAGCTTCATGTAAATATTATTTCTTGATTAGATACGAGATTTTGCCAATATTTCAGCTTGACATGGCAATCAACACATAAATTAATTTGATTGTCATGTCAAGTTCAATATTCATTTGATCCTTGTTTGCAGACTCTTCAGCAAAAATTTAGAAAATTGAAAGCAAGAAACTTACATAGAACGGTTTAATTTTTCAATTGAATATTTAAAAATTATTAAATATTTTTATTTCAATATACAAACCGTATTGTTATACGCAATATTTAAATAATAATTTTTTTATTTTTGCATTCAAATAGGTATATTAATTACGCTGAGTTCTAAAAATAGATCTACGTTTTAAAACTAGCACAAATAAACTAAAAAAGTAAAAGAAAAACATGGAGTTGCAAAAAATAAAAAAAATTACAAAAGGGCGATGATCCGCAAAATATGCATTAAACGATTTTCTTAGTTCTAAACTATTGAAATTTTATTTTGTTTTATATTTTTTTTGCTTTCTTAATTGATAAAACAAAAAACGTTTGTAACCAATTGCACATTTGCAATACAGAGAATTTAATTTTATTTTTATTTTATCTTGCAACTAATATTGAACAAAATTTCTTTTTAATTAATTAATAAGAATTAAAAAATGCGTTAATTGGAGCATTTTAGTTGAAATATTAAATTTTAATTAAACGATTAGATTAAACCACATAAGACAATATTAGTCATAAAAAAAAATATTGTAAATGTCGATAACTAAGTTTCGTCGTCGATAACGAAATGTCAAATAATTAACCTTAATGCATATCTGGTTTATTGGTTCGTGTTCAAGATAAAAGTTATATTCAAATGCTTGTTGTCAACATTAACAAATTTTACCAACTTTGTCTTACTTAAATTTCTTCAGAAATTTACTGGAATAAATGAAAATGATAACAGAAATCAATTAGAACTATATTATTATATGTTATACATATGTATAAAGGTTCTTATAATTGTCAAGACCTTGCCAAATTTAATCAGTTATCATTAATATTTTAGATAATAAATATGGTTAGATCCAAATTGAATAAAATTTTACTAATTAAACGTTTGAACTTTGATTTGAACAATTTTATGACTCAAAAAAAACTTCCATTCGCTTAAAAAAAAAAAAAATTTTAAAGTTTTAAATTTCTGAATGAAAAACTACAGAATATATATAAAAAAAAATTTATACTCAATACTTTTAAGCATAATATGGTGAAGTAAATTATTGTTATCAGTAAAACTAATTTCCTTAGTTTATTAAAATTCTAAAGAAATAAAGCTTATTTAAAATTAAACTGTAGACTATACATGGAAAATTTACCAATTATGCATAAATGATAAATGATATCAAAATTGGTAATTAAGATTAATCAAGAGATTATAATATTATCGCCTACCATAGTTTTTTTAATTCTACAGGGTCTTTTATTGAGTAATTTGTGTATCAAAAATTTTTGCAAATTAAATTGGCTTTTATTGTGCATGGTAAATTTACCACAAAAAAAAAAAAAGTTGGTGAATGTGAAAGTTTGGTATTTATAGCGAATTCGACAAAATATCTGATGAATCAAAATATGATGTGACAATTGTTATGTGAATTTGAAAATTCAATCACAACAGATACATAGTATACGTATCAAAATATTAGCGAATCCGCTACGTTAAGAAAATTCGACAAGTTAGCGAATCATTAATTCAAGTTTAGTTTCTTATTTAGAATTTTTACATTACTTGATTTTGAATACGTATTAAATCGAATTCATTTGGAAGTTTTCATTTTGAAGTTAAAATTTTTAATTTTAAATTCGCTCACTTAAATTACTGACAAAATAAATTCGCTCACTTGACCATTTTTTTATATCTAAGCAATTCCTAAATGACGCAATTTTCCACACAATGATATTTATAGTACTAATTGAAATTAGAATTTTCTTTCATCAAAATTACTATAACAATAAACTTATCAATTAAAATACGTTTTATAGGATCCGAATTCGTACAAACAAATTGATTCTAATTTTAGCATATTTTGGTATTAATCTTTATACTTTATATTTGAACAATTTGAAGATCACAACACAAGTAGAAATACGATATTCGAATTTATAATTTTTGATGTTCGAAATATGAAATGTCAAACTTTTATTACAAATATTGGTAAGGTACAGGCGCGTAACTCTTTTCTTAAAATTTAAATATTAGAAAAAATAATAAAGAAACTTTATTGAAAATCTTATATTTGATTTGAAATACAAAATATGAATTTTGGCGTATGTGATGTACAAAATGTACATATCTCTATGCTAACAAACACAGTTAAAAAAAAAGAGAAAAGTACATCAAAAATTAACAACAAAAAAAAATACCATTTTCAGTAACTTGAAATTTTCATATCTGTTTCAAATATAATAAAACAAAAACCCATTTTTGGGATTTGGAAAAGAAACATTATCGTTAAAAAGCCAATAAACTTGAAGAATTTTTATTCATTTTTTTATTTAAAAAACAAAAAATAAAAAACCTTTAAGAAATAAAAACACAAAAAAGAGAAGAGTTAATTTCAGTTCAAGGCTGTATTTGGAAATTTCATTTTATATGTATGTATTTGCATATTACATGTGTTACATACATACATACATATTATATTTTTATTATTTTAAAATTTTAAACTCTTACTTTGTATTTTAAGTGAAAAGATGAATAAAATTTATTCACAAACAATTGATCTACACAAACATACATATGTGTATGTTCGAAATTCATAAGTTCAATTTGTAATATGAAGAAGCAAAACAACACTACCCCACAGAAAATAATTTGAAAATTTTTGTTTTTTTATTATTTCAATCAATTATTAGCAAAGTTTAATTATTAAAACTTTTGTCGAAGATAATTAAGAAAATGTAAATTTCTATATGCAAAATTATTTGATTTTTTAATTTTGAAACGTGTTCTCAATTTGGTTTTTATAACTATACTTGTATATGTCAGAGACAACATAAATTTTCAATTAAGGATTTGGGAATTTATCAAACTAACTAATTATTAGGGTCATGTTCCTTTTATCAAGATTTATCAAAAACTGTTTGTATACAGGATTTAATATTTTCATATTCTTAATACTGTCCTTTTATATGAATGCGAAAATACTGAAAAAATTTGTATAACAGTCAACCTCATTTTGTTGTTCTCATCTCCTTCTCTTTATATTTTTAGTTTACAGGTGAATTGTGTAATTAATTAAAAAAATTTACATTTAAAAGTAATTTTATTTTTATACACGCTAATTTGTCAGCGTCATTAGGGATTTAAAAAAAAATTCATTTAAATTAAATAAACAAAATTTAATAAAAATAATTATTGTATGAAATTCTTATTTAAACTAGAAATTTGTACTTTTGAAATTGAAATAATATTGTAATAAATGAGACACACGTAAATTAGAAAATACAAAGAAAACTGTTATAATATTTTATCAATTATATTGCATTGACATTTTATTGACATTTTTTTTTTGTCACACTTCCCCCAAAAGTAAAATATTGTAAAAATTAAGTATTTGAAAAAAAAAAATAGTCTTATTGCAGTCGCAATTGTATATTGTTGGCCTCATAATATTAAATTTCTTTCAGTGTATCGAATATTATTCATTCATAGCAAAAAAAAAGAGGGTGTGTATACTAGTATAACAAGAATATAAATTTTGACTATTACACGTATAAAAATTGAGTACATAAATTGAGTAAATTAAAACAAATATGCAATTCAATTCGATTTGTGTTGAGAATATCACAAACGTTAACAATACTCACAAATATTAATTACTATTTAAATTTTACTTTTTATTACATAAAAGAGCATGTGTATATCAAAAAAAAAAATACGAGAATAGTTAATTAACATAGTCTT